ATTATTTCCATTATAAATCAATCTTTTGCAAAATCATTTTATCATACCTAAAATATAAAACAGGAAATGAGCAAGTTAAATTTCAATATTTTAGGGCATATGTGAAATGAGATGGGTAAACAACAGAGATTTTTGTCAGTGATAAATGCAGGATTATATGTGCAGGTAGTGAGAAAAATGAAAGGAGTAGATTGATACTAGACCAAAATATGAAGAAATGTGTTCTGGAATACTATAAATTTTCTGAAAGAATTCTTGCCATTAAACTGAAAGAAAAGACTTTCACCATATCCATCATAGTGGTGTATGCACTGACATCACAAAGTACAGAAGAAAAAATTGAGAAGTTCTACTTTATACTAGGCAGTGCTCAATGTAAAATGCAAGAAACTATAATTGTCATGGGAGACCTGAATTCCAAATTAGGGAATAGACTAGGGACCTGTAATGCATGTGGAGAAAAATGGATCCAATGGTGTATGGCAAATGACCAGGTAATAGCCAACACCTGATTTCAAGAATACCCAAGATGAAGATGGACATGGAGAAGCCAAAAAACAAATTCACTATATAACTATTAACAACAACTTCAAGAATGCAGTTATACACTGCAAAACCTATCCAAGTGCTGACTGTGGAAGTGATCACCTCCCAGTGATATTTAAACTAAAAAGTGAAACTAGGGAAATTGAAGAGTACTAAGGCAGTGCCCAAATTACATTATGATAAACTCTTGAACAACCTGAAACTGAAGTAGAAATATATGGACAGTGAGAAAAGATACAGATGACAAAATGAAAAAGGACTCAAAGTGGGACACATTAAAAGAACCTTTAATAACATCAGCAATTTAGATCATCCCAGATGAAAATAAACTAAAAAAATGAATAGGTGACATGAAATCCTTGACATGACACTGAAACAGAATATAGGACACTACACAAAGAAATATGAAAGAAATGCAGGCAGGCTAAACAAAAGATGTGCAGAAATAGAAAGAATGAATATCACAGATAAAGTGGATATGCATAAAAAATAAGAACATGATAAAAGACAGGGTTATCCACAGTATACGTAAAATTCAAGGACAGAATGTTGATATTAGAAAAAGAAAAAATAATACAGAGATGGAACAAATATATCAGAGAACTCTTCCATAATGAAAGAACAACTGGCAATACACAGAATTATCAACTAACTAGAAATATTAAAATCTGAAGTGGAATCTGCACTGGCCAAATTGCACAGAAACAAAGTGGCAGGGACAGACAGAATTGTAATAGAGATGCTGGTGGCCTTAGACAAGATTACAGAAATAATAAATGAAATCTACAACAGTGTTGATATACTAGAAAACCTAAGTAGATTTATTTCATAACACTGTCGAAGAAGCCAGTTTCAAACAAATATGAACTCTATCAGAAAATCAGCCTAATGATCCACATAACAAAATTTATCTTCCAAATTCTGATGAATAGAGCATGCAGCAAAATCAGGCTGGAATTAGAACAAGAACACTGTGGCTTTGTCAAAGACACTGGAACAAGGAACATGATATTTATGCTCAGAATGCTATCAGAAAGAGCAATGCAAATGCAGAAGAATGTGTACCTATGTTTTATAGATTATGCAAAGGTATTTGATAAAGTATGTCACAAAGGTCTGTTAGAATTTCTCAGCAACTTTGACATATTTGGGAAGGATATTACAATAACCAAGAAGCTATACTGGCAGCAAATGGCCTGCATACAGATAGGAAATGAGTTCAGCTGATATACAAAAATAGAAAGGGATGTAAGACAAGGATGTGTCTTCTCACCAAACTTATTCAACCTATATAATGAGGCATTCTGAGAGAATTAGAAGTCCTATCAGATTCATTATTGGCAGCCACAATCTTAACAACATAAGATATGCAGGTGACACAATGTTGATAGCAGATAAAGAAAGAAAACTACAAAAACTCTTACAGAAGGTAGTGAAGGAAAGCAAGAAGAAAGGATTAAACATAAACTGCAAGAAGACAGAATGCATGGTTATGCAAATTACAAATTGGCGATATCAAAATCAAACAAATGCAAATATTTAAATATCTGGGAAGTATTCTAACAGAGGATGGATGTGTGACACTGAAATCTAAAGGTACATAGCCAAAGATGAATTCCAAAAGGTAAGCAGAGTATTAAGAAATAGGAAAACTTCATTAGAAACAAATAAGAGTACTAAACTGTTATGTGATATCTGTCTTTCTATATGGATGAAGAAAAGATTTGAATCAACAGAATTGTGGTTCTACAGAAGGATGCTAAGGATACCATGGACTGAATATGTGAGCAATGACAAGGTTTTAGAGAAAAAGGAAACTTATATTTAAGATCAGGAAGAAACAGTTGAAATTTCTGGGGCACATAATAAGAAAGGAGGGCTTGGAAAATCTGATACTCACAGGACAGATTGAAGGCAAGAGGAACAGAGGAAAACAGCACATAGCATACTTGATGTGCTTGAGTAAATGGATGGTGGAACAGGTTTCAGAGAAATAACAAAAAGACAAAATTTATTAAGAGCCTATGAAGGACAGAAAATTGTGGAGAGCCACGGTTGTCTACATCCTGAGGCTACATGGTACATAAAATAGATTAAATACTTCTGTGCAAATGTATTTCATATTTAGATATAGATGTGAAACTATCACTCTGAGTATACCATTATGTGTCATTAATATATATATATGTGAGAGATCATAATTAAATTTTCATGATTAGAAAATTGAAATTCTTTTCTTTAAATGATTTCTTCTATTAAGAGATTATCCACTGTTTTAAATAATTTCAAATATTCTTTAGTAAGATTCTACAGTCATGTGTCTAAATTACAAAAGTTTTAGCACATGGTATTAATTTTATGATATAAAAGCTGTTGTCATTGGTTTGGTCTGTTTGTTGATATTCTGTCATTCTGAAAGCAGTAAGAAGAATGTACAGCAAATACAAAATGGACTCTATTGTGTTTGCTTTTCATAGAAAGTAAGCAAACCTACTGATATTCTCATTACCATTACTGCTACTGAGGATGCCTGTTTCATTGCAATATTCTTTTAAAATTATTAATAAATAGTTTGTTCAACATGAATTTTGTCTTTGTGTGTGTGTATATATATATATATATATATATATATAATTTGACCATACATAAGTCAAAAATGGTTGCTGGTTTTCACATTTCACCATACCATTGGGAGGAAAAAATTTAAAGCCCAAGAGAGTGGAATTATCACTGTGCAGCAAACCCTTTCACTTGAATTTATGTCTTGGTTGCTGTGCAAATCTATTTGGCATACATATAGACTATACCTATCGACAGTTTTTGTTTTTAGTTGTGGTGGGGTCCTTTAAGTTAGTTGGGTCACAAGTAAGTGTTTTATGCTAATGCATTTATGTGAATTTTAACTCAATTTTGGGTAACCATGACTGGTATCCAGATTAGAAAAAGTCATAAATAAAACAAAACAATTTCCTTTTTTTTCCTCCTTTTTTTTTAATGATTTAGAATATGTACAGTGGAAAGTGAAATGATATGAAGTAGTGGAAATGTGTTCAATGAATGGTTTATGTTGTAAAAAGTAGTACACTAAAAATTAGTTCATATTATTTTTGCAGAAGAGAGGGGCAAATAATTTTCAGGTAGTGTGATTAGTACAGACATCTTTGGAACAATGGTCAACCAAGAAGTCTTTTGGGTATCCAAAGATGAAGCTTGAACTTAAAACACCTGATTAATGAATTCTTGTTTTAATTTGTACACTTTAACCACTAAGCAAAAAGCCTGCTCAATAAGTGAGAAAATTATACACTTGTTTGCCAATGGTTAGTGTTTGTCATTGTAAATGCAAAGCTTTAGAATACTGGCCTTTAATGGCAGGTAAGTCCTCCTCACTTGGAAGATTAACTAAATACTCATGTATAAGTCCACTTCATGTATAGTGCGACCCCCTGCTCCCCCAAATTTTTTTTGTGAAAAATTTGATTTTTTGTTTTCAAAAAGCTTGTGTATAATGTGACCTCAGCTTCTTAGGCCTGCTGTATTCAAATATTGCAGTACCAGGCATCATCCAGGAGATATAGTAAATAAATGGTTTTCATTCTTTTCTCTTTTTTTTTTTTTTTTTTTGTAAAAAGCATATAATAAAAAATTATAAATAAACAGATGAAGACAGAATAAGTGATACAACTGAAACTTATCTGGTAGAGATATGTATCAGACAAAAGGGGTGCTGTTGGAAAAGCAGTACCTCAGTGATGTAAACATGTGAACAAAGATGAATATATGTAAATTTGTATGTAAATTTGAGAAAGGAAGAAAAACATTGTTAATTCTTCATTCATATAAGGTATTTGTAGATTTTAAATGGCACACATAGTGAATGACATTTTGCTGTTCATGTAGCAACAGAAAGAAAGAATCTAGGCTACAGTGGGCAGGCTAAATGAGTTTACCTGTACCATTAAGATTAGCTAAAGTTACTGTGAGAATGTAGGCTTATGGTCACTGATAATGCATGAATATTAACCCCTTTGTAAAAAAATTACCTATGTATAGTGTGACCATTATTTTTTTGCATAAAAATCTGATCTTAAAAACTTGCACTATACTTGTGTATATGTGTTGCTACTTTCTCCTTTTTCTCTTTATTCAATCATGCTAAGTGTAATAAGTAGTTGTACAGTGGTGTAAATGGGTAGTATTTTCATTCTTGACAGACACAATTTTACAAAATACGATTTTCCAGAAACTTTTTATCAAAGTCTTTTGAATAGCTGCAATAATGAAATTTAGTTTTTCCCTTAATATTTTTATTTATATAGATCAATGTGAAATGATATTGAAACTTTTGCTTTGTTTGATAAATTGCTAATTGTTTAATTTTTGCACTTCCCAAAAATTGATCTTTTACTTTATTTTAGTCTCATATTTATTTATTTACTTTCTTTTTCTTGCAGACATCCTTTGTAAAAAGTCATCGACGCACACCAAGTGACATTGAATTTAAAGAATTGATGCGAAGAGATGCACTGGCTGGAATGCATAAAGAGTTGCAAAAGTTAGTCAAAACTGCAGAACCAAAGAGTCAAGAAGTAATCTCTTTTTTCTCTCTACCTCTCACTTTCTCTTTATATTTTTTGTAATGTATTCTATATATATTTTGTTTTTTGTCAAATATTTAATTGAACTCGTCTATCTTATGCTTTGCTCATTTCAAAGTCTAATCTTGCTTCTTTTATGATCTGTTATTAATCTTTTTTTATTGTTGAAAGATTATCATGATGACCTTTCTAGAGGCCTGATGCTGTTTTGTCTTGATATTTTTATACCAGTAATTTTGAGAAACATTTTATTATATTTGAATCTTTTATTTGCTGTATACCCTTCAGGGCCTTGGTGATCATGGCTCTCAACAACTTCCTATCCTCTGTAGCTCTTTGCAATATTTTTTTTATTTTATTTTTTTTTATTATTATCCTTCTCAGTCTCTGTTCTACTATTCATTTACACAAGCTAAGTAGGTCACTCACTGTTTCCCTCTGGCCTTCAATATGTCCTGAGTGTGTCAAATTCTCCCAGTCCTCTTCCTTCATTATGTTTCCCCAAAATTTCAGATCTTTCTTTCTGATTCTAAGTATAAATGTTCTTTTGTTCCCATTTTTCTTAAAACTTCTTAGCTCCCATGTTCCATCCATGCTATTTTCAGTATCCTTCTGTAATACAATATCTGTTATCTCAAGTCTCCTCTTCATCCATGAAGAAATTGTCCAGCATTCACTGCCATATAAGAAAATTGATATTACCTAGAAGTTCTTTTCTTTGTTTCTAACAAGATTTTCCTGTTTCTTAATATTTTGTTTAGTTTTTGGAAGGGATATTTGTCTATTCCAAAGCATCTTTAGATTTTGGTTTTAAATTTTCTATTGTTTGTTTCCCAAATTTGAATTTTTGTACTTGCTTGATTTTTGACATCACCAATTTGTAGCTTGCATCTTAGGCTGCTTCTCTGGCTGGCAGCCATACAGACTTTTTACAATTGATAGTCCATTCTTCCCACTTTCTTTTACTATATTGTTTAGAAGTTGCTGCACTTACCTTTCTCTGCTTTACTCAACACTGTGTCATTTGTGTATCTTATGTTATTAAGATTATGCTAACTAATAATCAATACTGGTAGGTCTTCTAGTTCTCTTAAGATTGCCTTGTGTAAAGGTTAAACAAATTTGGTGAGAAGATGAATCCTTGTCTTATGCACCTGTCTATTTTTGTGTACATACTCAATTCATTTTCTATCTGTATGCAGGTGTTTTGCTCTCACTGTGTAAATAATAATTCTGGATTATTCTAATATATTTCCCAAATAAATCAAGTTTTCCTAGCAGTTCAAATAGATTTCATATAATGTCATACCTTATCAAATGCTTTTATGTACTTTATGAAATAGAGGTATACATACTTCTGAATTTGTATTGCTTTCTCTGATATTCTGATCATAAATATTGCATTTCTTTTTTCCAGTGTCTTTAACAAAATCATAGTTCTTGTCCTATTTCTGGTTTAATTTTGTTCTGCTCTCTATTCATTAGAATTCAAATGATAAACTTAATTATGTGGCTCATTAAGCTAATTGTCCAAAGGGGCTTGCATTCTTTTGTACCAGACTTCTTAAGCAGTTCTATTAGGAATAGGTATCTACTTGGGTATTCTGGTATTTCATCAATATTGTCTGTTTCATTTATTATTTCTATAATCTTATTGATGTCAAAATCAACAATGTTAGCATATGGTGGCAAATGCCAAAATTTGTCATTTTGAATTTGGCCCAACTCTGTAAAATCCTTGTAACTCAGTCCAGTCAAAAGCACACCACAAAATTTTGTAGATATCCTGCCATAAGGCTGACAAATTTGTTGTCAAATTTTAAAAAAATTATGCTTTCTGAGAAATTAATGGTCAAAGGTTATGGTCAAATTATCTTATTTAACCTTTAAACAAAAAAAAAATAGATCACCTTTTAGATCTAACCAAGTACTTTAAAATGGTATATATTTTAGCATTGTAGGTAAAAACAAAACAACTGATATATTGATATTTAAACTTTGTGGCTATTTTCCAAAATTCATGTTTTTGGCAAAGATCAAAGGGTCATATCTCTGGAACCCTTTGGCCTAGAGATATAAAATAGGCACCATTCAATTTGGTCAGATCTTTGTTTATTTGACATGGAATGACTCCACTTCTTTTCTCATCTCACTTTTGTTTTGAATTCACCAATGTCACTAGATCTTCTCTTAAAGTGTTCCACTTTGAATTCCCAATGTCATCAAAGTTATTATATTTGCTTTCAATTCTGTAAGTATACATGTCTTTGCAAATTTACCCTTTCAGGAGTCTTTTGTAGTGTAGTTTAGGCATTGCTTTGGTTTTCTTTAATTTCCATAATTTTATTCTGACTTTCTAGAAGGTGGCTGTATACACAGTCAGTACTCAGATAGGTTTTACAGTTTGAAACTGAGTATAAACTTTTTTCTTGAAGTGTTTTGAAGGAATAAACATCAGTAAAAAAAAAAATACACACACACACACACACACACAATTTGTGATGGATAAATTGTCATCTAAATTATGCAAAAATGGAAATATCACTGACATCTCATTTTAAGATATATTTACCAAAATTACACAAAAATATCTTGAAATACTAAACAGCAAATTTATTCAATAAAATCACCATTGGATCCAACCACAGCCTCCAGAAAACTTTGGAATCTCCTGCAACTCTTCTGGATGGTCTCCTTGTTAAAGTTGGTGACTGCTGCCATAATCCTTGCCTTCAGTTCATTTTTGGTGTTACAAGGAAATTTGTTGGTCTCTTGCTTAACTGCATCCCACACGTAATAATGAAGGGGTTTTAGTCTGGGGAGTTAGATGGCCAGGGGTGATGTTGTCATAGAAATTGTCTGACAGCCCTGACTGGGTTCTCCTGCTTGTGTAACATGGTGCAGAGTCCTGTTGCCAGACATAGCATCTTCTAGCAGCCACCCTCTTGACCCAGGGCAGCACTACCTCCTCAAGGCACTTGATGTAGCCCTCTGTGTTGAGTCTGATTCAAGAGTTCTTTTCTTATCAGAATGATCACAGTGAGTTTTCCTAGTTGTTGTACCTTCATAATCACCATTAGACTCATCCAACTCTTTCCAAATCCTCTGCATTGCTCTCAGATTGACACCCAAACACTCTGAAATGTTCATATTGGAGCTTCCATCATAAATGCCAAGCAGTACAGCATGCTGTTTCCAAATTTCTGGTTGAGTAAATTGCATCATGGTGCTTTTTTTTCCCAAAGACAGTGCCCAACTGACCCTACTGTACTGTGCAGCTGATGAAATCAAAAACAAACAACACACACATTCAAAATTAAAAATATGAAATGACGACAATTTACCTATTGTACTGTGTGTGTGTGTGTATATATATATATATATATATATATATATATATATATATATATATATATATATATATATATATATATATATTTACTGTTTAAGTGGTTACTATTTTATGCTGTCTAAAATGTTTGGTTTGTTTACTTTTATTTTTAACAGATGAATTACCATTTGAAACCTGGCCGTTTTCTGGGCTGAATTAACATTATACTTTGTTTTTTGTTTTCTTTTTGGCAATATATATATATATATATATATACACACACACACACACAAGAAAATTATGAACTGCACTTTGTGGTCCATATATTTAAGTAGGAAAGTTGTAAATGTGTAATTTCTTAAGCTATTTTGCTTGAAAATCTAATAGCTTTCATGCTGAATCCTTCTTAGAACAATTGGTTTAGTAACTTATTCATTTCTACTACTGTTGTTAGGCTTTTAACTACATTTTAATATTATCTTACATCTGAAAAATTCATGACTTTTATTACATTCTTGTTGAAATGACTTAGCAAGTAAAACAAGCTGTTATTCCTGACAAACTGAAGTCATCAATATCTGTCTGATCATCTCAAATTGCTAAATTTGAACTGCTGTCTTTGTTTCTCTTATATTTCTTATATTTCAATTGTTAATTCCTTGCTGCTTTGTATATTTAATATACACATGCTGCTCAAAACATGTGATTATGTCTTTAAGATTTTAATTTTTTTCTGTCTGAATTCCTATGATGAGTAGTTATCATTATTTACATGCAGACTATTGTCCTCACCTTTGTGGTTGTTATCAGAATGTTTCAGTCATTGTGACCTATGTCGACCTGGGTAACCTAAGGGAATTTCAAACTGAACCCTTTATTTAATCTACAGGGTTAGATTTTTCTCATCTGTTTCCAATACATACTGCCTGATCCAGGGATTGAACTCACAATTATTACATCACCAGATTCATGAACCAACATTTTAATCCACTAGGATATTGTCCTGTGGAGAACTTGGGCCTTAAACCTGTCTGTTGATGACTGCTGCTGCTTGTCATGCTTGATTGCACTCAATGGGGCTTTGCTTTTATTACTGCTGCTGAATATCTGCTGACATTTGTCTTCCTTTTTTTATTAGTGGCTACCATATCATATTTATTTCTATGCTAGGACTACTAAGGAGGTCCTCAGTCTAGGATATGCACCAATTCTTTCAGACATCTAACTCTCTAGTGTTCATTCTTATCCAGTATTTTCTACTCATTTCACAGGGGTTGATGATTAACTTTTTCCTTTCTTGCATGATCAGCCATGCTTAATTTCATTGCCTATCCCCTCATTATGACTTTGATGTTTATCCATCTATATCCTCAACTGCAAAGAAAGGAGTACATACAGGTCTTTGATCATGTTCTTCCCTGTGTTAGGCTTGACTCTGCAGAGATTTCGCCATAGCGTGGAGCTACTTCTGAATATTGTCCTGATGTTGTATGAACCACAGATCTTCTGAATCTTTTCCAATAAGCCCTTGATGTAAGGCAGACAAATTGGTAATCTTATGGTCCTCCTTGACCCTTCTGTTTCAACCTGCAGATATTGATATGTTTGCAGTGTGGTTGTTATTCTAAATGGCATGCTTGTTGATGATCATTTCCTGTTG